CCAAGCACACAACAGTTTAAAGCAAAGTTTAGTTTGAAAAGAATGTTAACACGGTAATGTAGGCTTGAGTTCATTATCTGATGCATGCATATACACACCAGGAACCTGGAAACTTACTGAATTACAAAAAAACATTTAAATAAAAAACATGTTTCATTGATATATATACAAAAATGAATATTAGAAACTATATTTATCAAACATTATACTGGGCAAGTAAAAATTGTTTCTGGGCAAATGAAATGTGAAAGGTAAAGTCCTTAACGTCAACCCCTGAAATATATATCTTAAATCTAAATCTGGAATCTTAAGTTAAACATATCGTATGTCAGTTTTTCTTCATCCTGTTCCGCTATCAGTATCACTGCCCTGCATGTTTCTGATATCTCCTTGCTGCCACATGTTGGACTTAAATGAATCAGCCATCTGCAGCACTTGCTGAGGAGTCTATGCAAAAAGATCGGCAACCACTGTGTCATATGCTCAATCTAAATATTAGATTTAAATGTTTTGAAGATATGCAAATCAGCCGTGCCCCTTAAATGACTCAATTTGTCCCCAAACCCCCAGAGTGTTGGAATCAATGAGAACAGGAGCCATCCTCCGAGAGATTCAGTTCATGTTTCCCTGTCATTACCTTTGCCCTGAGGGTGTGGCCATAAATAGAGCTGTTAGAGGCTGGTCGTAACTTATTTTCATAAGATATAAGCACATACTTATGCTTAGTGGCCGGCATCAATGCACCTAGGAAAATTAATAATTTGATGAAAAGCTCAGCTAGGGAAATGTTTGACAAGTAAAATAGTGTTAGTGTTAATAAAATGTGCCTTATAGAGACATGACTTGGAGCAGCCATCCCCAAAGTCGGTCCTGGAGGGCCGCTGTCCTGCAGGTTTTAGAGGTTTCTCTGCTTTAGCACAGCTGATTCTGATGATTGCTGTTCAGCAAAAGCCTGTTTATCAGCTATCAATGTAAATCACCTGTGCTGGAGCAGGGAAACCTCTAAAACCTGCAGGACAGCGGCCCTCCAGGACCAATTTGGGGATGCCTGACTTAGACTCTAAATGCCACTACGATCAACAGATTGTAAAAAACTATTTCAGGGTGATTTTTCTTGGATTACATGAAGAAGCACTGAAAATGTTGGAAATGGCTCATGTAATGTGTTGTTTTGAGTCAAGAGGCAACGGTTGAAGCTACGGTGAACTCTGAAGAAAAAAAGAAAAAGCAGTGGTAAGAATTAACAAATACCACAGAAAATATCTACTTTTGGCACAAGTTGGACATTTTAACTCTGAGTCTTCTCACTTTTGTTGCCAGATGTTTAGACATTATTGCCTGGTTTCAAGTTATTTTAAGGTTGCAGAAAATACACAGATGTGCACAGATAGCACATCTGTGCAGGGTAGTTAGACTCATTTACTTTGTACCATGCGATGAGAACTAGGAATTTATATTCTATGACTAATGTGTTTGAAATGTAATCAAATGTGAACTTGGATTTGTATGTAGAAAATATCTGATTTATATGGTGGCCCACAAGTGTCAACACTAATACAAAAGCTGCAAAGCAAAAACAAAAGCCGCAACACAAATACAAAAGCCACAACACAAATACAAAAGCCACAATGCAAGTACAAAAGCCACAATGCAAATACAAAAGCCACAATGCAAATACAAAAGCCACAATGCAAATACAAAAGCTGCAACGCAAAAACAAAAGCCGCAACGCAAATACAAAAGCCACAACACAAATACAAAAGCCACAATGCAAGTACAAAAGCCACAACGCAAATACAAAAGCCACAATGCAAATACAAAAGTCGCAAGATATATATATAAAAATCCACAACGGAAATATAAAACTACAATGCAAGTTACGCAACAGTTGGTCGTTATACACACAGACATTACATACGTATCGTTGGACGCTGTCAGTAGCGCAGCTGACGTACCTGGAGGGCGGCCATCTTGGATCGGTCCACAGTTCAGACAGCTGCTGTCAGAATGAATAGGAGGCTCCTTAGATCTCATTTTAATCACATGAAATGAGTCAGAGATAATATCGCAAATAATCTCTTACATGTCACAACCCCTTAAAAGAGCAAAACATTCTAAAAGTACCTTTAAATTATATAAATATTCTTTCAGATTAGAAACCATTTCAACTGACCTCGAACTGGACGAAATATATGCAAAGTTATATATTTTGCAATTAAATATTAATATTTATCATATTAATATTTACACACAAAGTTTTCTTTTTTTATATTATAAGATTATGTTTAACAAATGTTACATATTTATATAGTATATTATAAATAAAATATATTCATTATTTTTAAGGATAGCTCTTTGATAGTGAGTATTATAGAGGAAACCTAGTTGTAATGTGATTTACAAAAGAGAGTAAAGTTATTATTATTGTTTTTTTTTTTGTAATTTAATGTTAATTTTTATGTTAATTGTGTTGCGGCTTTTATATTAGTGTTGAATCCTCTGGGCCACCGTAGGTTTTATCTCGGCAGCCTGAAAATATTTATACTTTGCTGCTTAAAAACCAGTTACATGTTTTTTTAGCACTGGGAGAGCTGATCTACAGGGTGCAAGAACAGAAGAGTAAGACTGCAAGACCTTAAAGTTTGGCAAAGCAAGTGTTCAAAGACCTGAAACTGACATTTCATTAAGCATGGTATGAAAAGTATTCTTGGCTGCAAGCTAATATGGAAACTGCTGGCAGTGTGTGTTTTTACTCCTCTAAATACTTCAGACAGGGAAACCAGCTTAATTCAAGCACAAACCCAACCATTTCTTTCTTTCTTTCTTTCTTTCTTTCTTTCTTTCTTTCTTTCTTTCTTTCTTTCTTTCTTTCTTTCTTTCTTTCTTTCTTTCTTTCTTTCTTTCTTTCTTTCTTTCTTTCTTTCTTATCTGTACTAATTCATTTCAGGGGCATCAGAAAAAAAATTGAAAACTGTGTGGTCACTTATTAAACAATCACTCCCACATCTTTGGGACATGTACGTGTTTAATACTATTCTGAGACAGTATCTCTTAAGCTCACAGATTACATTATGGTTTATGCTGTTCCTAAAGATCCCAAGATCTTTCTGTTGGGTCTGCTACCCAAAGAGTTATTCCCCAAAAAGGATAGATACAACTTCAAAATTCTGAAGAATGCATAGAATAAGGCCATAACAAGAAACTGGTTTAAAAAAGAAAACCAAGTGCTAGAGACTGTTGAAGAAACATATTCGATGGAGAGATTGACTTATTTTCTACAGCTAAGAGGTTTGAAGTCTCTTTTTAACCTGGTCTGTTATTCATATTGGTCATGCTCTTTTGAACAGTCCCCCATTGTGTTCTGTTTTGTTTGTTCTAAAAAAAAATACAAATAAAAAGTTTAAAAAAAAAGTTTAAATACTATTATGTATTTACATCCTTTATTGAGTTTGCTTCTAGTAAAATTTCTTTGGCTACATTATAAGGAATTCCTAACGTTATAAAATATCCGGGATGTACTGATACAGCTTTTTTTGATACGATACAAATGTTGGAGCTTTGAGTATTGACCGATACCATAGCACTAATTCTATAGACTGTTTCTACTCATTTTGTAGTGTGGGACATTAGAAAAGGCTTGACAAAGTGAATTTAACTCAAGCAGATAAAAACATTATTTTTTTGGAGGATATTGTACCAATTCCCAATATCAGTAAGAGATTTGGTGTTAATGCAAGTTTAATTTATAGAATTCATATTTAATTTATTCATTTACTAAATTATCCTGCTAACTCGAAGACTTGATGGAATCAGCTGTTTGTTAGATGAAAAAGCACCAACCTGACTTTAGGTGGTGCATCACAAAAAAAAAAAAAAATATATATATATATATATATATATATATATATATATATATATATAAATATATATATATATATATATATATATATATATATATATATATATATATATATATATATATGCAGGACGGGGGTAATTTACCATTAGGCTATAGTAGGCAGTTACCTAGGGCTCCAAGTTCCTGGGGGCCCCATAAACTCTTTTTACATTTATGGTTAATACGACTATTCCTTATTTATGCACATTAATTATGGTAAAATATAAAATTATGGATCAAAATAGTTTTGCTAAAATGCCATCAGAACGTTTATAATATTAAGTGTGTCTCAGCCCCCCCCTTCAGTGTCCACCATATTGGATCAGTCCATTTGCTGCACATGTTCAGAAAGGTCCAAACAGACAGCAGCAAATCATTTAAAAACCAAACGATGCAAAGAGCAGTGTTTCCAACTTAGCGCTTTAGTCGCTATATTTAGCGACTTTTCAGACCCCTCTAGCACTTTGATTTCAAAAAAACACCTAGTGCCAAATCTAGCGACTTTTTTCTGGTACTGCAGACTTTAGTGACAACATCTAAAAGCAGCGAACTCTGCTCTCCAGAGCGAGTAGATTGGTAACCCCGCCTCCTGCTCTCCTCTATCTTGTCTGCTGTCATGATTCATGCAGCTATTATTTCATCCAAATGAAAAATGGAGAACAGATAAGCAGATCATGGCTTGTCTACAGTGAAAAGAAGGACTGGGTTATTTACTTTGGCCTTTTTGGAAACACAGGAAGGAGCAATCAGCTAAGTGAGCTTAGTGCTTGGAAAAAAATATTTTATTCTTTTAGAGACAGCATGAAAAGTCAGCTGAGTAGAAAATATAGAGAGGAAAACAAGAAGAAACGGGACAAGAACAGAGGGACAAAACCTAGAACCTAAAAATTTCTGTCTCTATTATATATATCCTATATATATATTTATATATATATATATATATATATATATATATATATATATATATATATATATATATATATATATATATATATATATATATATATATATATATATACATATATATATATATATATATATATAATATAAATATTTTTTTTTTCTTCTTGTTTAATGCTTTTTGATTTTAGGAGATATTTAGTGAAACGTGTAGAAATGAAAGCGGGGGCGCGCGCTCCGCTCCTCCTTCCTGTCTTCAGCTGAAGCTCAGAAACATCTGATCAGAACCGACCGTTAAAAAGAGAATAAAACTGAACAGAAGTACGCCAGCTGGAGGCTTTCATTCCTTTCACTCCTCCACCTTTTTAATCAGCAGCTCAAACCTTCAGACGCGTTTCCTTCATGAGAGGATGTTATTTATTGTCTCCAACAGGTTCATCCAGCATGAGAAGCACCGCCGGGAGACACTTCTGCCTGCTCCTGCTTCTAGTGCGTCTGTCATGGGCAGAGGACACCAAGAGAGACCCGAGGAAGACCCACAATGTTACTGGTATGTATGTATGTGCTTTATTATGCGCGCTGAGTGTGAAAACACCCCACCCCAAAAAAATAAAAAATATGAACTGCGCATATATATATTATATTGCAATTGTTTGATCTAACACTGACTTTCATCTGTCCTGACAAACTTAAAAATCCGTCAAATTCACAAATTTTATGTGATTTAAAGGCTTCAATCCTATATTTGTCAGCATGTGTTGTTGTGGCTGTAATAACTCAGATTTCATCCTCAGACAGTCAGTGGTAATATGGGCCATTTATCGCACAAACTGCTTGATTTTCCTGGGTTGCAAAATCAGAATGCATGAAATAAAATTATTAGAAAAAGGGTTAAACACTTCTGAATAGCAAGATTGGCTGCAAAACCCTGGAGTTTTAAATAGGGGAAGATCTGGTTTTGTTAAAATATCTGATGCACTAAATTCATACTTGAGGACTAGTTTCTTTATTTTATTTTTTAGGAAAGGTTCTTTGTAATTGCAGGACTTATTTTCCTGTTTACTTTTAACTATATAGAAAATAGAAATAGAAAATGCCTTTATTGTCCCACAATGGGGAAATTCTGGAATTTGAACTGAGAAAAAAATCTTGCAACAGTATTTATTTCCTTCTAGGCTTAAACTAAAAAATAATATGTTGAATTTACTGAAATTATCACCGAAGTTACTTCAGTTGGTTAAATGCAAATATTATTATATAATTACTTTAAACCAGGGGTCTTCAACGTTTTCAAAGCCAAGGACCCCCAAACTGATTGCGAGATGGAGCGGGGACCCCCTAATTATATTTATTGTATGAAATAGTGTTCTATCAAACTGGTCCTACAGTCACTCTATTACAGATGGAGTCATGTAACGAAAGTAATTCCTCCCTGGGATTATTAAAGTATTTCTGATTCTGATTCCTGGTTGATGGGACAGGTGTTGTGAATGAAATGGTGCCCTGGTCTGAAAGAGCTCTTGTGTGTCTCTGAATGTGAGCATTGTTGACTGAAAGACATCTTCTGCCTCCATTTATCTGTTTACTACAGTGTATTGAATTCATGTTAATGTGTATTTAAAGACATTTTAATTACTGCAAAAAATTGCAGGAGGGAATATAAAAAAAGTAATCAACCAAAACTTTCGCGACCCCCATGCAGTACCTCCGAGGACCCCCTAGGGGTCGCGGACCCCCTGTTGAAGACCTCAGCTTTAAACATGATAAAGGCAAATTCATTCAGATCACTGCAAAACTGAAATTATCTGTGTTTCTTTATATCAATAAAATAAATCGAATTAATTTAACCTTATTAATTATATTCTAAAGTTTTTATTATAATTATAAAGTCAAATTTAGAACAGAGTTAGGAAGAATCAGTATCGACTTGAAATATTAACAGCAGCACATAAACAATTTAGTCAGCAGCACCCAAGAGGGAACTCTTTCTAACACACTTCCATCTTTATCACGGTGCCATAGAGAATAAAAAAACACAACGTTAAGAATTCTGAGAAAAACAGGAAACACTCCCATTAACTGCTACGTACCATAGTGGTTTGTATGTTATAAATAACATACAAACTGTAAGACTTTAAGTCTGAGAATTATCATTCATACATGAAAAGAAAACAAATTTTAGACACCTATGATGTGGAGGACTCATCTACTAAAATACACATACGGTATTTTTATACAACAATATGTTTGTTTGTTTTGTACGGAAGCGTATTGCATTCACCAAAGAAAAAATTATCTGACAGCTTATCTCATAATTACATAATTATGAGATATTATCTTGTAATTATGGGATCTGATCTCATAATTTCGAGATACCGATCTCGTAATTATTATTAGCTGTCTGATTTTTTTTTGGTGAATGCAATACGCTTCCGTAGATTTTTTTTAATCTTTAACCCTTCTCTGTTTCTGTTATTTTATCTATAACTAATAAAAACAATTCTGTAAGAATATTTATACTATAAGTAATAATGAATCAGTTGGTAATTAATAATAAAATAGAATTTAATTTTAATTATTTTTTTTTTATTCCTTTAAACCACGTAGGTGAATTTTTATGACTAGATCTGCTATGTTTTTGTCACATTGGATGCTAAAATGTATTAGTTTCTGTCAAAAAGCCCTTTTTTGTAAAATGCAAAAATGAGAAATTTGAAAAATCTTTCTCATCTTAAATGTTGTAAACTCTACTATTACAATCTAATTAAATCCTAAAGGAGTCAAACTCACAGCCAATGGGCCAAATCTGAGCTGCCAATTCTACTTTTACTGGTCAAAAAGTAGAACATTAGATCATCACCTAATAATAGTCCAAGTTTGGAAATGATCAGGTTTATTCCAGATGTTTCCACTATGTTTATTGTGCTTACACATGTACTGATCATGTATGGTGTGCATTTTATTCCATTATTGTTGCAAGCAAAGAACATGTTTTGTAACTACAAAATTGAAGAAAAAAAAATAGTGTTTCCGAAATAAAACTTTGAAAAGCTTCTTAATAAAAATGAGTAACTTTCCTATTTTCTCAGATTTTATTTTTCAAAAATCTATTTTTTCAAGTGCTTTTTTTTTCAGATTGAGTTTTACAAATTGCACAGAAAACATTCTCAATACAAACACAAATGTTGTCGCTATCATCCAAGCAGACCAGTAGAAATGTGTTTCCACATCCCCACAAGTGAAGAAAATGTGATCTAAAAAAAGCAATTTTAAAAATAATTGGAAAGAATAATAATCTGAAGACAAATGTGAAAAAACTGAAAAACTAAAATATGAGCATTTATTTAGAAAATACAAAAATACATTTAGATTTTTTTGTTTTATTAAGAAATTTTTCAAAATTTCTATTGTGGCTTCAAAAAATGTATTTTTGTTCTAGCAACAATAATGAACAAAATTCCATCCATAATTCCACATTGTCTTAGTTACTCTCAATAATTTATTGTATTTTCTTTATTAAATGGCGGCAAAAAGTATTGATATTTTATTTTCATTTTTGTTGTGTTTTTTTTACTTGAAATGCAAAAATGTGGACTCTATTATGGCAATATTTTGTTGAACTAAACATTCATTCTGTTTCAGCATCTGTTCTATGGTAGGAATCAATCAGGAAACCTCTCCTACCAAACAACGACCAGAGTGTTGACATTGCCTCTCTGCTTCAGTTATAACAACACTCCTGCGCTGCAGCTCTAGCACTGTCATTTAAACAAAGACTACATGACCAATCCCCTCCTCCTCCTTTCCTAAAATTAAAACACAAAATTAATGGCAATAAACATCTTTAATCTTTTTCTCCATTTGTACTTTGGCCAATACTGATATGTTTAGAAATGACCACATCAGCCAATACCAACATAAATGCTGATAGATCATTAATCCCTATTTGGTATCTTTCATAGCTTTAATAATTTGGGCTAGTAAAGATCAACATGGTATCTTTTTATAAACGCATCCACACAAGCGAACACAGTACCAATGAAGACGCTGTAGTAGATATGCAAGACTCTTTGGTGGCGTAGAGACACAGAATTATGTCCAAACTGCTGACGAAAACATTGTACGCACCCAGACTATGGAAGCGAATCGTTACCATATTTCAAATGAAAAAGCATTTCCAGAAATTTTTCCTTTTTGCATTATTTGACTCATAAATGAAATTAGTGATCAATCATCCTGTTTGCATTTTCATTTTCTTCTTTAACACTGTTCATTTTTTTACTTAATTAAAATGAAAAAGAAAAAGACATTTTAGATTTATTTTTCAAAATGTACCCCAGCAAATACATACCAAAATTCTATTTGAAATGTAAAATTTGAAAATGAAAAAGCATTTCCAGAAATGCTTTTTCATTTTAAGATTATGGCTGCATTTTTTAACTCATAAATGAAATTAGTAATCAATCATACTATTTGCGTTTTTTTCTCTAAGGCTGCACATTTTATGCCATAATCAAAGAGAAAACACAGCAGACATTGCTTTTACGTTTTCGTGGTCTGCCAGTAAAGTTCTATCCAAAACTCGAAAACGAAAAAGCATTCTGAGCGGCGGGCGCAGCAGAGTGACGTCAGCAGCCGCTCTTCCTCAGGTCCTCGCTGACCGGGCTACCCATCTTGTTCGGTAGGGGGCGCTGTGATCAGCTTCATAATCATGGTACAGTAGGACACTTCTGCGATTTTATTTATTTTGCTCAGGCTACTGGTAAGCCCAACGCCCACCAAATGTTGAAAGGGCAATATTATTAGCCTCGTGAGATCAGGATGGTCTTTGGCTTTCAAGATTTCACTCGCTAATCAGTCTGGAGACTCTGTTGAAGAAAATTTGGAGCCGTTCACCAAACGAACGTCCAATCAGCGTTGGCTTTGAGGCGGGTTGAGGTGTGACGCAACGAGAAGCGCGACAGTTCAGTCTAAAAAACATGGCGGCTTCAGCCGATGAAACTAGCGTTAGCGTGGCTATCGAGCAAGTTTTATCGGAATTACAGAGTATTTCTTCACTGAAAGAAGAGCAAAACACTGCTCTGGAGGCTTTTCTCAGAGGAAAAGATGTTTTTGCTCTTCTCCCGACTGGTTTCGGCAAAAGTTTGATCTATCAATTGGCTCCTCTTTGTCGTCGCTCTGTTAGTACGTCATATGCATCGTTGATCTGATTGTTTTTTTTGGCCCGTCTATCACCAACATAGGCCAATCAGCTAACCAGTATTTTCGCCCCTTCCCAATATTACTTCAACGGAAGGTTTCCAGATGGATATGCGGAGCAAATCCATCTGGCGGAGTCAGGTTACAATATTATAGCCATTACTGTTAATATAGTAGAAATTTTACACATTCAGTAATAAAATGTCACAGAGGGATGATTTTTAAGATTTTTTTAAGAAGGGGTATGCCATCCCCTCTCAGCTCCAATACTGATCGGTCCCATCAGTTTCTTAGGGTAGCACTTGTAGCATGAGAGCCTAATGACTTAGGATGAGCAACCCAGGGAAACGCTGGATTAGATGTGGAAAAACAGAGATGGAAACGCTTTTAAAGCCGAACCTGACAGCTGCAGGGTGGGAAACACTTTAGATTTAAACGAAATATCAATACTATAGTTTATAGCAGTAACTTCTGGGACAATAATCACGTCATCATCACTGTGCTTGTAAAATACTATGATTTCAGGCGTTTAATGATGAACTGATTCTAATTCAATGGGCTACTAGCAGACTGTGACACGCAAGCAGTGTTGGGCACGTTACTTTGAAAAAGTAATTAGTTATAGTTACTAGTTACTTCTCCCAAAAAGTAACTGAGTTACTCCACAATAAAAGTAACTAGTTAGTAGTAAAAGTAACTATTGCGTTACTTTTGCGAGTGTATGAAATTAATAACTGGGGATGTCTAATTCTGAAATCCTGTGTTTGGGTTGTTATAGATACTGCAACATGTAGCTACATCCATCCATCCATCCATCCATCCATCCATCCATCCATCCATCCATCCATCCATCCATCCATCTCCATATAGGCTAATGATCGTTCACGCTCTCCATAGTTCTCCTGTGGCGCGAGCACAGGGCGGCTGTTACGCGCCTTTAGCGAGCATGCGGGTTTCCTGTCGCTTGCGCGGTGAATCGTGCCGCCGCGCTGTGCGGAGATGCAGGGGAAACCGTATCTGATGGGGAAACGCAGCTCAACGTAACACCGGTATTTCCATCTGGAAAGCGCTGTTTTCCTGCTGGAGTCCTCCTCACTCTCCATCCTCCTCTCTCTCATGACGCGCGCATGAGTCCTATCATGAAAAAAGGTTAATTGTGCGACCTGAGTAACGTGCGGTAACGGGGTGTCGGCAATTGTAACTGCGTTATAGTTACAGTTAGAGTAATCATTTTGATTACTCGTTACTAAAAAAGGTAGCGGCGTTAGTAACGCCGTTACTTTCAACGCCGTTACTCCCATCACTGCACGCAAGAGAGATTATAAAATTCCGATTCAAGTAGCTCCAAAGGCCTAAACTTTAGCCACAATTAGGCTTTTTGGCTTTGGGACTTTTTCTAATTTTTACAATTTCTCATGAAAAAATGTCAAGGCTCTGATTACTGCATCAAATGTCTGCTGTTGCTGCTGGTTTCCTTTCAATCTATTGTTAGAAACCAGGCGTTTGTCCCCATCTACTGGACTGCAGAGAAAAACTGCAGATCTATGAGTCAGAAACCTCAGTGTAGCTGATCCAAAGTATCAACCAGGGGTTAGTAGTAACTAGTTAAATTCTCAGTTACATTTACACTTACTTTTTTGGGGGGAAAAAATGTTTTACTAACCCGTATTACTTTTACTTGAGTAAAAAATATGATGAAACGTTGCTCCTTTTAGTTAAGTAAAATTTTGAGTAACTTTACTTAAAAAGAGAAAAACGGTGTTTTAAACAAAAATGCACCAGAGAGAAAAACACCTATGGTTTATATTTAGGTTATATTTCTATTTAGTACCAAAGCGTCATCGGTTTAATTGCATTTTCTATCATTTGAGGGTCAAATAAGCAATATACTATATATTTTTTCGTATCTGTTTTGGTCAGAAAATGTAGATTTCTCTCGCTTCATATATTTAGTTGTGCTTTTTTGTGCAAAGATAAGAAAATAAAGTGCTGACTGAGTGAAATCCATCCACCTCTGTTTATTTAACTTGAGTGAATAGTTGAATACTTTTTCCCCACTACACTGTATATATTAGATACTGTAAGTATTAATTACATAAATTTAAAAATAAAAAAAATGTAAATGTTTTGTTATTATTTTCAGCCACTCTGAATCGCCGCTCTGTAAAACCACCGGTCTCCATGTGGTCTCCATCCCCACTGGACCCATTAAAGCCAATAAATGATCCCATTTTCATTTTTAACAGCTTAAGCTCAGTCAGATTCAGATAAGGAACTGTTGGATAAACAGTTGCCCTTTGGGCAAGTGGCTTTTACATTTCAGTTGCCCAGAAACAATTTTTACTTGCCCAGTATAATATTTGATAAATATAGTTCCTAATATTCATTTTTGTATATATATCAATGAAACATGTTTGTTTTTTAAATGTTTTTTGTAATTCAGTATTTTTTAAGTTTCCAGGTTCCTGGTGTGTATCTGCATGCGTCAGATAATGAACTCAAGCCTACATTACCGTGTCAACATGCTTTTCAATCCTTCCTGCACATTCTTTTCAAACTAAACTTTGCTTTAAACTGTTGTCTGCTTGGAAAAATATAAATTGCAATGTTAAAAACCTAAAAAAAAAACTTCACAGGTTAAAAACCTACACTACTACTACTCACCAATTTAACATGTTTAGCTCTATTACATTTAAATGCACCACTGCAATGTCTAAGAGAAAAAACTTTTATGAACATTTTTTAATGTATGACCTGCATCACTGTACAGAAGACTGCCATATGATAGAAATATTTACACTGTGCGCATACAATTATTATTATTATTTTACTAATCCCTGACTGATAATTTTTAATCTAGCGTGTTTTATAGTATAGATTAAATTCATCATCCAGCTGCTGCTCTGCAGAATTATCTCCCCAAGGAGAGAAAAATCATGGCATCTAGCGGAAATGCATACGCGAGAATGTGTACAAAACAACAAAAATGGCGCCGGCAACGCTCGTGGGTCGTTTTCAGCAAATGTCGGTGATTTTAAAGTAATTTTAAGTGATAAATAAATTTTTTTTGCGATCATTGCACTTGCCCGGCGGGCAAATGCAATGAAATTTGTACTCTCCCGACAATAAAAACTACTTGCCCTGGGCGATCGGGCAATGGTTAACATCGAGCCCTGACAAATATAATTTTTTGTTTTTGTCTTGCCACAGGGGTTAAGTTTTTGTATGTGGAGTTAATCTAATCCAGGAGTTTGTGAGAGCTGCTTTCCTGCAGCAGTCCTCTTCAGCAAAAAGTCGTTCATTTGATTTAGGTGTTTTGTATTTATTTGTTATCTAACGTTTATTTTTCCTCTCATTTTTCTTTCTAGTTTGGGGACAAGCAAAGGCCAGACGACTTTTTGCGAGGCAAAACATTTCCCCGATAGAGCATCCTCACATCCCTGTAAGTTTGGGTCACGTTGCTTCAGGCATGTTAACTCTAGACTGGATGAAATGAGTCGCCGTTCAGAAAGCTTTAAGCTTCCTACCATCATGGATGCTCTCATAAAATAGGAAATATATTCAGAGCAGATGATGAGAGCAATCTCAAAGTTCTCCAAGGTTCTTTGATTTCTTAAAAAAAAAAAATAAAAATCCAACTTTCTTCCTTTTATTGAAGGAAGCATGATCACTGCTAATCTGGCATGATCCAGATTGGTGGGTGTAGTTCAGCTTAAATTCTACACATTATCCATCTGGAAAGGCTCCTCCGGAAAGTGTTTACAAAAGGGAGGGACAATCAGCACAATTCTTCAAGCTGATTGGTTAAATCCCCGTGGGGCATCTAGGGTTGTGACAATTCCAACATTTTGGTACCAACGTGTATTACGCCCCTTTTCAATATTTTTTTTGTTGTCATCGTTTAGAACAGTAAAATATTAATCAGTTAATAAAACAAAGACAAGCTTTTTTAATGCACACAATTTTGAAATAAATTAAATATAAAACTATTCTCTCTCTCTTGTCACTTAACTTGCATATTTGAGCACCAGATTCCAGCAGAGGAGACGACTCTGGTGTTGACAGACTTCAGGCTCCCAAATACCAGCTGGTAATCACCGCTGAGGACTTTTTCATCTTTTCCCAATTTTACATCAGTAATGAAAAGTTTTTCAGCTTCAGCCAATTTGTCGTGTATGAGAGCGACTAAAGGGGACACGGTTATAACAATAGGATCCCTCTGCAGCTTCTTCATTTGCTCCACTTAACGGATAAATCAAACTCCTATTAAATCTAATCTAACTCTATCTGGTTGGAAAGATGGAAGGCGCAAACATCTTCCTTTTCACAAAGGCAAAAATCGCATTCCTTTTGCTCCTCTTAATAAAGAGATAAGCGGTATTCCAGCTAAAACAGACTGAATATCAGTCTGTTTGCAGTACATCCACCGGTGCAGCCAGGTTTGTTTTGCTTCAGCCTGATGCTTCTAGTTAAAGTCATACTCTGCATTTCATTGGTTTGAAACATTTCTGTATTCAAGGCTGATGCATCTATTAACTTCTGGCAAGATGTGTTTTTGTGAGGTTGCTAATTTGCAAATCTTAGAACTATTCACCTTGATTGCAAAGCAAGAAGCGTGCACTCGTTGCTAAAGCGAAAAGTTTAAATGCCTACCTCATACGCACCAGATCTTCTAACATTGACTTCTGCACACATGAGCAGATGAGAAATGTTAGAACCAGCTCATCCCATACCAACTTTATTTATGAAGCACTTTATACACCGACAGGACCGAAGTGCTGTGCATAATCATAAAATACAATGCAATTATAAAATAGAAAAGTATATAAAATGCATATTACTATACCCTGCGATGGTATGTATATATATTAGGGATGGGACAATTTATGAAAACCGTCCGAACCGTTCGGTTCGACTGTCTCAGTTCGGTTCGCGTGTGTTTCGTTCGGCTCATGCGCTGCTCCTTTTTCTCATAGGCGACCAAAGCCAACCACCAGTAGTAAACAAGAAGAAGAAGAAGCGAAGCAGCATAGCCGGGTGTAGCAGAAAAAAATCAGCTGTTGTGGAGAATTGTGTGGGTATGGCGAGTGGGAAAGAACAGGAGTTGGAAGACGCGCCAGCAGCACTTTATAGGTCTGCTGTATGGGAGCGCTTTGCATTTAGAGTGACCTACGATGACGGCGGAAAGAAAGTTGTGGATAAAAGTGCAACAGTGTGCAAGCATTGTGCAACACGTTTTGTTTATGCTAACAGCAACATGTCATGCTAACCCCGAAATCCCTCATACTCCGTCAGCAACCCCCGCTCCCACTGTGGCTCCCGTCCGCTCTGAGTTCCTTGGAGATGGTAGAGAGCATGCGCCAGATGATTAAATTCAAAGCAGCAAAACATACGGAAATGATCCAGGGTTTCCGCGGATCATTTAAAATAATTACAATCCATTATTTTTTGGGGGATTTTTTCATTAATTTCATAAATTTTTATGGAATTTCGGTGTAACAATCAACATGTATCGAACCGAACCGTGGATTTTGTGAACCGTTCCACCCCTAATATGTATATATATATATATATATATATATATATATATATATATATATATGTGTGTGTGTGTGTACATATCTCTCTCTATGGATATATATGTATATAAAAATATATCTATATATCTGTAGATATAAAGATATATTTTTATACATATATATGTAGATATAAATGTATCTATGTATAAATATACTGTAAAAATACTGTAAAAATGTCCTTAGCTGTATCGATTATTTATTCTTCAGATGCATAATATTTACATTTGTATAAACATTTTACAGTACAGTATTTTTTTTTAACCCCGTCAACTATTCTGTCATTTTTATACACCTATTAAGGTCAATATATATATATATATATATATATATATATATATATATATATATATATATATATATATATATATATATATATATATATATATATATATATATATATATAGTGTGTAGTGTGTACATATGCTGTTTATTCAATAATGTCTTACAAAGCTCTAATTACTACACAAAGTTATCCCTCGATCCCTGATGTCAACATCCGTCAATTTAGAAAAAAATACGCCGCACAGTTCTGAGCCATCCTTCTTGTGTTCTGGTTAAACCAGCTGGTTAGGGTAGGAGGTCGACCTCCCCAAGATGGCTCCTTTAATTCCTGCCCCTCGACAGTCAACGAGGGGTCTACTCTTATATTATGTCTATGGATTTCTCTCCACCGTCTCCATTACAGACAGAAGAATTGGGAAGAAAAAAGGCCGGATCTGTGGGGGAGTAGCCCGCGTAATTTCCATTGTTAAAATGCTCCAAGCATGCTTAGTGTGAGGGATTGCTGAAGAGTCAATGAGTCGATGCAATCAGCTGGTTTTCCTTAGATAGAAAACTTTGCATCAATCTGACTGGATGATCTGGTTGAACTGTAAAAAGCCTTGAACTGTAAAAAGATGACGTGTTGTGAATTGGTGCTATAGAAATTGACTGAATTTAATTAAAATCTTATCAATAAAAATGAAAACTTAATTTTTTTTCAGATTTATTGAGCTTTTCCATGTTGTCAGTTAAAAGTTCACCAATTCACCTGTGGTATTGTTTCAGAAACACAGGTCCCATCTCATAGCTCCAGCACGCCGCTGCGGCCGCCTGATGGAAAACTGCTCCTCCCACATGCCTTGCTGCGACCCGTGCGCCTCCTGTCGCTGCCGGCTCTTTAACACCATCTGTCACTGCTGGAGGATGAATCCCCTGTGCTTGAGGAGGACCTAGTGGGAGGACACGCAGATGCTTGTGCATTTCACACGATTCCGTGGTCCACATCATCACATGCAGTGGGGGGCGAATTCAGACAATTCTTCTATTTTTGCTTAAATAGGACCTTAAATATCCTCAAATGGCAACGTGCAGTAGTTGTGAATGAGGTAGTGAAAAGAGAGAGATTTCTGATAAGGGTGTCTCATGTAAAAGAGCAGCACTGATTCACACTTAAAGATGCTGGAACCTTTGATATTTTGCAAAAAAAAAAAAAAAAATGTACAATTATCTCTACCCAGAACATCATTTCTAACAATCATCAGTAACTCTTATGCTGCATGTTGGACCACCTACTGTGTGTCGTCTAATAAAACCAGGTTCCAGTTAATGCTGCTTAAAAACAAGGATGTTTAACACCCAAACACTGTTTAAACTGTATCACAGGGGCTGAAAAAGGTTGTCTTATATCCTTTATGTTTTAAGACAAAGAAATTCCACTGATAAATATTGCTGCTTTTAAATATTTTTGTATTCAGTGATTTCTTGTTATTAATGCAGACACCCAAACATATTTACTGTACAACTTCTCATCTTTTCTTAAAGATTGCTTGCCCCTAATTATTCGTGTGTAGTTGTTTGTGTTGAAAGTGAATATTTTTGCTATCTAATAAAAATGCTGTTAGCTGATGATTTTATTGATGTTATTTATCTTGTTTCCAGCTGAAATACCCCTCCCACCTAAAAATACATTTTTACATCAACACCTCTTTCATATTTTTGTTACACTTCAATGATTTAAAGATAGATTTTTTTATGAAAAACAGACTTTAACATGCCACAGGAGACTCAGAGAGACAAGTATGGAGTGAATCGCTTTAACCAAAGAATGTTTTAAGAGCAACGTTGCTGATTTCTCAGATTAATTTAAGAAAATGTTTCTAAACTTGTTTATTTTAAAGGAAAATTTGGTCCGCTTTATAGGCATGGGGGTCGTTTGGTTTCTTTGTTAGCCTGTAATACCCAAAACCTCTGAAAGGGGGTCGTTAGTGGGAATTGTTGGCCTAGCTGAATAGGTGAGACGCTTTGTTCTTTGAAGATAGTTGCGTCCCAGTGTTCACGGGGATGGACGTCTGTGTCTTCGGCAGGCGTAGAGCTAACAGAACTGGCAGCGTTGCGAGGCAAGGGCTCAAACATGTACGGCTGGAAGCCTTCTACACCAAACCAAGCTTCTGCCACCCTGGCGTCCTCTTCCACAACATGTTCGTCCTGCTTTCCTCCTCTAAATAAAAAATGGATGACGGAGGAGACTCATCCACGACCTTGACACTAAACTCTCCTCCTCTTGCATGTTTCCGCTGTCCATAGCGCACCTTGACTACAGAAGAGGATTAGTACCACTGGGAAAAAAATAAATAAAAAATTTTCTGACTTAAAATTTTTTTTTCAATTTAGACTTTTTTTTTCCCTCACAATTCTGACTTTTTTCCTCACAATTCTGACTTTTTCCTCACAATTCTGACTTTTTTTCCTTCTCACAATTCTGACTTTTTTTCCTTCTCACAATTCTGACCTTTTTTCCTCACAATTCTGACCTTTTTTTCCTTCTCACAATTCTGACCTTTTTTCCTTCTCACAATTCTGACTTTTTTTCCTTCTCACAATTCTGACCTTTTTTCCTCACAATTCTGACCTTTTTTTCCTTCTCACAATTCTGACCTTTTTTCCTCACAATTCTGACTTTTTTTCCTTCTCACAATTCTGACTTTTTTTCCTTCTCACAATTCTGACTTTTTTTCCTTCTCACAATTCTGACCTTTTTTCCTCACAATTCTGACCTTTTTTTCCTTCTCACAATTCTGACCTTTTTTTCCTTCTCACAATTCTGACCTTTTTTCCTCACAATTCTGACTTTTTCCTCACAATTCTGACTTTTTTTCCTTCTCACAATTCTGACCTTTTTTCCTCACAATTCTGACTTTTTTTCCTTCTCACAATTCTGACCTTTTTTCCTCACAATTCTGACTTTTTTTCCTTCTCACAATTCTGACTTTTTTTCCTTCTCACAATTCTGACTTTTTTTCCTCACAATTCTGACTTTTTTCTCACAATTCTCATTTTTTTCTCACAATTCTGACCTTTTTTCCTCACAATTCTGACTTTTTTTTCCTTTTCCCCAACA